GAATTTGTGTTTAAAAGTCAAAAAAAAAAACAGGTAAAAACTTCTATTTCACAGCTTTGTCAAATCTCCCCTCTCAAATGGGTAAGCGAAACCGCTTTTATTGCTACTAACTTGACTTTCCAACTTCAAATGCACCGCCTACGAATACTCGGAAAGCAGACCACCATATGAAAAAAAACTGTAAGCTCCAACTCCTATGATATAGGAAAGGGGGATAGTAAAAGACGGACTGAAAATGGACCGCTAGGGGGCGCAACTGCCTGATATTCCCTAACATTTGCATGAACAGCTGTAGAGGCTTAGCTCCACTTACCTAGCTGTTTACTCTGGGGAGTAATAAAAAATCGCGCTCCATCATTAGCCAGGCAACCGACATAAGACATAAATGAGGATATGTTCTACCACTAAGTGGTAAAATTTGCCTTAATGAATTGCTAAAGCTTACCGCGATTAAAAATACTACTTGGTGGGAGACTTGTCGATCGCGGCAATTGCTTAGAAATTAAAATGGCATCTTGGTGGTCCCCTAAATGAGACGACTTTGGGAAGCGAAATCAGGATTTACCAAACGTGGGAGATTGCTAAATTTCAAAAATCAAAATACGATTAACTGACGGAAGGAATGGAAGGATTTCCTAACGTAGAGAAGAAAAAGTGGGGGGAGAGAGGAGGAGGGGTGAGAACGTTAGTAACTGAGCTTCTCCTGACCATTCCCCGTGTGGGCTATGAGGGTTGAGTTCCACAAGTCAGGTGGATTGGCCGTTGGGATTTACAGGATCAGCCACATTGTCATGGAAGTTGCTAAGCGATTGATTGAAACAGGGAGAAAGTGAAAACCTACTTTTAATGTGGATGTAATTTGCTAACTCCTGTTTAGGTGTGCTGGTTTAGCTACATTTGGGTGGTAAAATCGCAACAGGTTGTACTTTTCTCCTAGCGGCATGGCCAGAAGACCTTGCCCGTAGCCTCCCTACCCAGCCATTTTTACTCTAGTAATAAATCATTTTCCCATAGCTGTATGTCTCAGCATGGAGAGATAGGAAAGACTCAAAGCTCTGCAATTATAAACTCGTAAATTCTCCCCAGAAAAGTACGTTCGTCCCGTCGAGTAATGAAGACGTAGGCGCCTGTAGAAAACTGGATACATTCTGCTGTGATTTAAAGAGGGAAGGGGAATTCTGATATCTCATCCGCATTCCTTTAGCGTTATGAAGAAGTAAAGAGCACAGAAGCTGTTGCAGAACGCCCAACAAAACCGGTATGGATATAATTCAGTACATCGTCTTCAAGGAATCAGAAAAATAATCAGTAGGCACCCCTTTCTGGGACTGTAATCTCTTCCTGTTAGCGTATTTTCCCCGAATTCTAAAGCTTCAATAAGGTATGAGTGGGGATTTCATTAAAGGAGGCATTTTGTGCCCTTACTATTGCGTAACTTCGGACTCAGGATAGTCTGCATTTATGCGGACTCAATTAAGAAGAGCTGACTTCAAAACTGAGAGGAAAGACACAGTTTTGCCACCATATTACAAACAAATTATCAGACCGGGTTAATTTGGAGGAGAACAAATGGAAAAAGCCAACAGAGGGAGAGGAACGCGATTTGTGCGAGAGAAATTGGAGTGGACATAGCCTTGGACGCTCCATCCCTAACTAACGAAAAAAACGGCTGCCCAATCGGGAGGTCCCTTCTACATTATTTAGCCAGCCCATGTGTGAAAGTGACTAAACTGCACGATAGACACTGATCTATCCAGCTGCTAAGGCGATGGCACGTCTACAAGGGACGAATCTGAATTTGAAAAAATTGGAGATGGGAAAAAAGCATCACTCTTATGGCTCGACCATTAGTCCGTTATCCTCTATTCATTCACTCAAAATCAATTCATCCAACAATCCATTCGAGCACCCACACATCCACCAATTCACGCTATAATTTATCCCGACTAAGCACTCGTCCCACCCATCCATCCATCACTCAGCACATGACTTCATGCACCTATCCACTCGTCCAGCCTGCAGTCCCTCATTCAGGCATACATTTAGCCACCCGTCTAACGATCCGTCCGTATATCCACCCACCCACGCAACTCGCCTTCGTCCATCCCCAGAGGGGACAAAAAAAGCGGCCACGGTGCTGCCTTTATTATTGGTATGTTGTAATTAAATCAACCTCCGCCTCCTTTTTTTCCTTTTCACTGACGAAAGATTCTTTCGCATTGCCTTTCCCCACCTTCAGCGTTGGTTGGATCAAAGTCCTGCCTCAAGAACGAAGTTCTCACTTACTGATCGCCATGTCAGACCTGTCAAGGGTAACCCTCAGATCCCATAGTTCCTCCCTTTAGTTATTCGGATGACGATAGCACGACGCCCATTTGTGGTGCAAATGGCCTTCTGGCAAATTCATGATTTTCATGTGGGCGGAGGACATTTGCTGCAGCTGTTTCCGCCTGTGACCTCCTGTCTCTTTCAAAACAATCAAATGGTGCCACCACTGGGGCGTAATTCAAGAGTGGCGCCCGCCAAAACAAGACGGTAAGTCCGCAGGCAATGGAAGTCCTGTCACGGTAACGGTACCACGAATCGTAGCGAATGGCTTGTCCTATGGTACGCCGTCAACTGACGAGTGCACCGTGCGTGGGCCAGTCAAGTCCACGAATTGAAATGCCAGGCAACAGCCTTAATTCATGCGCGCTGGCCTGCGTGTGTACCACTACACAAACAGTCTGTAATGGTAACTGAAGTGTCCTTTCAACATCGGCGTCACAAAACAATCTCCACCTACAAATGTTTGCTCACACTTGCAGAGGACCACAAGCACAAGTTTTAAGGCACGGCACTCGTGACGAGACGTGTGTCCACTCATTGGCGAGGCACCTGATTGAAGGAGGCGCGTGGTTTAAAGAAGATCGACCGTATGTTTGTCGGTAGCGATTCTAGCCCTGGCGGTTCTGCCCCAGGCCTATAGCCTCGGCAGTCGGTTTTGGATACATTTAGCCAGTGCGTAAAATATCTACTGATCCTTGATGATTGACGTATAATCTAGCACAAATCCGAAAATGAACGAATCGTTTGTACCAATAATTAACCGGTCTTTTCACGAAGAGTTAGCCCACACTGGGTACCAAAGTGGCTTCCCACTTTGACCAGTACTGGAGACTTGAATGCTACAGTGAATTGAAGGAACCTTGGTGACAGAGAAGATAAGGATGCTATGAATTGTATACCCGAGTGATTTTCACCTCGATGAACATCCAGAAGAATGCCTCAAAGCTCAGTATTTCAGTACCGATGACGAAGTTGAGGAGGCTGTCCCAGAGTGGTTCAGCTAAGGTGATAAACTCTTTTTATATCTAAGCCTTTTAGATAAAAATAAGGACCAAAATACCCCGGTTTTATTCGACCATCCGTCGCAGTCATACCCCTTCTCCATATCAGGCGAATGACACAACGATGAGTGTTTCTGTGGCTGATACGAGCACCACCTTTTAAAGTCAAAAATCTCGGTCACGTCCTTTTGATATTGTTCTCAATGCTCGCCTTTCTGATTCGACTAAAGAAAGAACCTTCTGTTAAAATTTGACAGCCAAACTCTTCGTTTTGGCTTCGTGGACATTTAAGGCTCCGCCCTTCTACTTCCACTAGGCGGTATGTCCTCCAGACCATGCCGGAATTCCCCCAGCCCTTCTGTACGCCTGCAATGCACTTTCTGCCAGAGCACTACGAATTTGTTTGCTTTCAGAGAAGACGTGAGACGCTACATTGGTGGCAACGGAAAACGAATTCGATCCCAAAGAAGATCAGATTCAATTAATATAATCATTATCAAACCCTAACTTTACGAAAGGGTACATGCTGCGGATGAAAAAATCTGTGATGACCCCTGGCAGAGGGGTCGGAAACGGCGTCTACCTTCGGCATCTACCCTAATCCCGTGTTCTGTAGGAAAGCCATTAACAACTGCTGCAACACTAGTCGTGAACGATCGGCAAAAGTTCGTTACAGAGCTGTCAACGGCACCTACATGAAGGTGTCAATGAAGTCAGCACGCGATACCTTCTCCTATGCCGCTCTAGGGGCCGGATTGAACCCAGACAGAACACTGTAGCGAGGAGGAACAGAGGCAAGACCTTTTCCCGACGAAACTACTTTGAACCTCATTCCTCATTAAATGACCGCTTTTGGGCCAGTGCTACCCTATTCCCTAACACAGGATGCAACTCCAGATAGAGTAGAATCGCCAAGAGGAGCCAGTGAAGTTGCTGTCATGTATCATCTCAGCTACACGCCACTTCGATGGCTGGCACTTTGGCTCGTGGGTGTTTCATCACGGCACCGATTACATTGTGATGGCTGACGAAGGAGATTGACCAAGGGCAACGCCGAGGACGACGCTCAAAAGGAGAGGGGAACTGTGCAATAATCAGTTAGTTCAACTGTTCTTTTTGATCTTGCGGGCACTTAAGGTCCCACCTTTGTACTTCCGCTGGGCAGAATAGTCTCTCGCCCATGCCAGTGGCACTCCGACCCTTCTGTGCATCCATAATGCATATTCTGCCCGAGTATTACATCTTCTTTCGGCTTAAGGGAAGTCTCGGGCCGCCACACTTCTTCTGACCTTAAAATTAGCTTTATTTCAAAGGGCGGAGATGGTGATGCTTTTAGAAACCAAGTAACTTCCTTTCACAGATGATTATACAAAAAAATTTCCACTTAAATTCACCGCAATTTTAAAGCACCAAGGAAAGAGGACACCCAGTTGCTCAAGAACTATTTAAAATGGGGGGAAGGATTAGAAGATTGACTAAGGCACAAACAAGACGAGATCATGAAGAAGGATTACTGATGGAAGAAGAAGTTTCTTTACACCAAGAATTATTTGGCAACGGTATAGCTCTCATGGTAGTCCCCTTAAGACCTAAACCTCATGCATGATCCTTATACCTTACAATATTCGCCTCAATCCTACAATCTCTAGCAGTGTAGAGAACTCGAAAACCACATTAACGCCCACGCAAAGCCACACTTGAAATCGACATGTATGAATTAGCCTAACTCGATAAACAACAGTCCAAGTCACTGTAAACGGTTCTATTCACACGGAGAAACAAACCAGAGCGGTAAACAGGTGAAGAACCACCTTCCGACTAATCGTAGACGGAAGGACTACACGTCGGCGTTAAGCTACAATGGCGTCAGACGAGACTTGGAGGAAAAGAGAGGGAATGCCTTCTTAGGCAAGTGTAAAATGAAACAGTGAGGTTCTGACTGAAAAAGTCAAATCGCAGACTCGGAAAGCCACCAGATGCCAAGAATTAACATCGTCAGCCACTCAAATTAGTGCTGCACGAACTGGAATGCCCCATCCATCGTTAGTGTGGAGTAGGATGCCCTTAGCACCCACTACTGTGGAGGAATTTAAAAGTTCCTGTTTGACACGAAGACACCTATCACCCCATTATCAACCTAATGAGAAGAAGTAGGATTTCGCTGTTAGGAAACTACTTTAAAACCAATTGTTTAGGATTCCTTAATCCTGCCAAATATTGCAAAGTGAAAGGATAAGTGAGTTGAACGTTTGACTTCTGCGAAGGCGGATCCCTCGAAACGCCCAATCAAAGGGACTCAAACCACGTACTTCAAATAGTCCAATTATGTCCAACTTTGCGACATAAATATTGTCCAGTTATTATATTTTTTAAAAAAAAGCGTTACAAAGTGAAAGCGCCCCATAAAGTAATCAAGCATGAGAAGGGGATTTATGGGGTAAAGGCGTTTATGACCCTCCGCTTTTAAAGTTTACCCCTCCCCAGTGCTATCAAGGTATTTTTTGCCCGAAAAAAAAAACACGCAAAACCTTTTCATGTTTTACCCGAGCTTCAAAGCCGAAATTACCCATTTGTCAAGGTGTTTGGTCATTTTCGAAAGGCCTTGACAGTCAACGAGAGAGATGACAAACGTAACGGAGTGTGTTGAAGATTAATTAGTTGACGCCGACGGGACAGAAAAAAGCGGCGGAGTGGAGACTAGGTGTTGGAGCTTGCAAAAGAAAATTATTGTCTACGTCAAAACGGTTCAATTAGAAGCAAGAGGGTGAACGCAGCAAAGGCCTGAAAAGGGATATCAGGAAGCGATTATTCCAGTGGTAATCCACACACTGAGGATCACGACGAGGCGGGTTATGGAAAGAGAGCTGACGTTCTCCAGCGAATCTTTTTAGCGAGTCCTGAGATTCTCCATGGGGATGTTTATGCCACCCATGCCTATTTACCAGGAACCCAATCCCTCTGTAAGCTAACGACAGATGCAAGTCCGGTTTCCAACATCAAGACGGTCGTCAGAGGTGACTACGTATTCTCGACCCGCAGATCGGAGGAGATGCTAGATGCTACACACACATGATTGCATCCCAAACCGTTTCCACCGTGATGAAACGTTGACCGATCCTTGCTAATCATTGAGCGGTCAAAATTAGACGAGGTCTGTACAGCCGGACGACTTCTGCTTCCTTAAGCGGGTATTCTTACTTTCCTAGCAATTTGTGCGCCATGACAGCGACAAAGCTCGTTCTCTCCTTGATGCCACCTTGAAAAAGCTCGTCCACTGGAACTATTTATAAAAATAACATCCATTCTGTTCAATGGCAGTGATAGCTGGAACACCAGACACCAGAAAACACCCAGACAGCATCATCCTTTAAGGGATTGAGAGCTATGGCAAACTATTTCTTTCTGGATTGGGGGAAGGGATTAATATTTCAACCTTGGCGGAGAGTAGCGACCAGCTCTCTCAAAAAACCAGATTTACCGACAGGGTGGGTGCAGTGGCACAGCAAACCAACTACCACTTCACAAACAAGAGAAATTCAAACAGACATACCTTAATCTTCAAAGGCCATCTAAACAGGAAGGAAAGGCAAGTTTTTACTTCTCAGCACTTGGCAATATTTTGCTGATTTAATTCGACGGGATTATTCAAATCATCTACGCAGACTAAAGCGTAAACCGGAGTCGATTTGGGCGGTAAAGTTGAGCTCTACGAAACACAAAAGCAGCGGCCAAAGGAAAAGGTATTCTTGTTGTGCATCTTTACGGTGGAAAAGGGGAGAAGCGGTCATTTCTCTATGAGAATAGCAAAAAAACAAGCAAGCAGCTTCAAATGAAAGAGAGAAAATGCCGCAAGCTTGTGACGCAATGGAGTTGGAGGAAGTGAAGGAGATTGTTTTGGATGGCAAAAATTATTCCCAAACAGAAGGAAAGGTGGAGACGTTCTTGCTACCAGTAGAGGTTCACGTGAGATTTCTTTGGGGAAAAAGAAAACACCTCCGTTTACATGCAAAAGGGGAATTGTATTACGCCTAATTTCTTATCCCAGGTTAAAGAGGCATCTCTAAAGTGGAATACCGAGACGCCTTTTTCTCTAATTCCGCCAAAGGGTGCCAGAGGAGCTTCAAAGACGACCGAAGCGCAAATGACCGGAAGCAATGCACAGCCCACTTCGGTGCTTTCAGTGCATCTGACTGTCGTTGTAGTGACAGCCAGTTGGGAAGCAACAGCAACTGGGTGCCCTGGAAACGACACTCAAAAGAGAGTCGTGAACTATGTAACATTTCAATGTATCCAAACATTTCATTTTATGGCAGAACAACCAGAGTCTTCGAACAGTAGGGAGCAGTGACTATCATGAAATCCCACCTACCTTCCATGGGTTTTGGCAATTCGACTGGCTCAGATCCAAACGCCTTCGAAGCCGGTTCCAGGGCCGAGGCCAACGGTTCAGCAACACGTCCACTTGTCCCAAATTCGAGTAGACTTTGCACCAACCAGAAGCAGTCTGTAACAAAACACCACATATTTAATTATGGAAGTGATTGGCAACGCCTAAGACTATTGGATACCGATTCTTGTGTGGAAGAAAAGGATTATTCGACCATTCTCCCACCATCTTGGTGGAGGGGGGGAAGCGGCAGGGAGGGGAGAGCATTTGTTTATAGCCACGGCCTCCCAGCCTTTCAGTGCAATAACAATAAAACCTCCCATGATAATTTTGCTTCAATGCGACTTCAGGAATGCCCCAGAGAGTTACGCGATTCCAGCTGAATAAGGTGGATACCACATCCGTGAGGGGGTAAGCGACAGTCAGCCTAGGTCGCTTGATTTAAGGACTAGAAAGGAAAGTTTAGAGGCAATAAAGGGGCTTATTTCAGGCAAAGAAGCAATCATGGCTCCCATTACTGACAGCAATGATTGACGCACTGGAAGTTTATGATAAATTTCAATCCTCACCTTAGTCTTATAGGTCGTAAATACGCACCTTGAAAGCGAGGAAATTTTTGATAAGCAAATAAACAAATCGCTAGTTCAGAAAGTGCATAAATTTTTGATTGTACACAGTGACTTAAGGGCAGAGGTGGTAGTGGGACAGTTTTTACGAAGACGGCGATATTTTGTGCGGTTACCACCTGCACATGACATTTTCTGTTGCAGGTGGGCAATTCACTGGATCCACTCCTTTGCTAGGAGCACTTTCTCCCCAAGTAGGCAAACGACACCACTTCAATTGACACCGCAATTCGTTGTGTGTAAGCGATTGCAGATTTTATTGCCACCATCCTAGGAGGGGTAAATGAAGAGCGAAAAAGGGCAAAAAAGGAAAAAGAGATGAAATGAGGGAATGACTGTGATTTTGCAGACTTATTGATCAGTGGAGTCCCATGGTGGGACATGAAAGACTCGTCAGGGGAGTTGACACCTTGGTTATTTGAATAAAATGTTCTGCAACGACATGCTTTGAGATTGCCCAGGAAGGAAGGGGGAGTTTCACAAATGACAGGGAGGACAAAATATACTCCTAAAAGCACGACATTTACCTTTGGAATAAGCAAAAGGAGGGAGAAAATTTATTTCGCCGAGTGGTAAAAATCCCAGTTCCATACCTGCGCAGATATTTCAGTTTGCTAGCATCCGCAAACTCTGCAGCGGTCGTGATTCAAGGCTGGAAGTACTCCAGGATAATCAATGGGAATCAGAAAATTTGAAAGCTTGCTAGTGAATGGAAGGGTGGAGGTGCTTCGAAAGCATTATATCATTTAGTAACCCATTGTGAGACTATCACACAAAACGGACGGTCTAGATGGGAGATCAAATGCTACAAGGATATGATGAGCCAGTTAAAGCCTAAAGAAAAATTAAATTCCTTTAAACAATGTGTACTGGTAAACACACTGTAGGCTTTGAAATACTGGAACATGTTTGGTGAATATCAGTTTGCACTGCAGTTGCCATGGCACTCTGTGATTTGGCCCTTACCAGTCAATTAAACGCGTGTTTTTGTTTAGTAAGTTATGGTTAATTCGAGAGGAGCGGACAGTTGAGTGGTGGACAAGCCAATGTTTCTGCCAAATTCCACCACAAATGATGGTAGAGGCGTCCTGTTCAACATCGGTGTGATTTCCTCTGGGTCTAGAGGGGTCACCTCAACCTCCACAGTCCACCACAGGCTGAATGAGGGATTGGTTGACCTCAAGGTCAAATATGACGCGCCGTAAGTCTTGCCAAGTATTACAGAGGTATGTGTGGACGGAGTCACTGCTTCTTTGGAAGCCTAATGAATCACTTTTCCGGTCCCAAAGTTGTAATTTATAAGCGCCAAAATGGAAATCTTTCACCCATCCAACATAGTTAAGGCTCTAATGAGCAGCAGCCTATATCGTGAGAGAATTATAGAGATTCATTACTAGAGTTTTACTAGTTTTGAAGAGCAGCATCTCTAGCAACAGCTAACGTGGTCGTTGTAAAATAGTGTTTAGATGCGTGAGTGCGGGTTCTGTCGAGCTTTCAATCTGCATCCTCAATGGGATAAAGACTTCAATGCGGACACCTTCGGTGCCGACCGGCTGCCAACTGAGTAGTAGTGGAGGCTACGGGATGGCCTGACCTTACGCCAATTATCAGCACATTTAAAATCCACTTGTACGGAACATTGGCCGATCCCGAGGAATTTGGTGGGAGAGAGAGAGCACCCAAAACGTCCTAGAGTATTCGAGGATCAGGCCAGGAAAAGGACATCATTCTAGGGAGTCGAAAGAGGAGCGATTTCTGAGGTGGTAGGCGTCCCCCTTATTTCAAAGGTGGTATTAAGAGAACTTTTCAGATCTGCCGACATATTTTATACGCAACCCAGGACAGTAATTATCATATCATCGAAACAAACTTGTTATTAGCTAAGATTGCCCATCCGACAAATTTCAGACATAACTCAGGCCTGAAGTGATTAATTACTGTTTTCAAAAGCATTAATCATGCTGTAGAGGTGTGATAACGAAATATATGAGGGCGCCAATTAATCAGCATTCCAAATGATTTGATATTATGGGACGGCTTTTTCGCTTCAGAGACGCTGTCCACTCTTCATCATTCGTCAAAGCAAAGAAAAACAATCGGTTCGCTGCGATCAGGTCTCTAACGGCGCTGCATTTGAGAGGTAGCGCCAGCTCAACACTCCTTATCCCAAGTCTAATCCTAAATAAGGATTTCGCGATTCACTGGAGCAGGAAATACTGTACACCTCGTTGGAACACTTGTTGTATCGTGTACAGCTTCCATTAGAGCCATTTGAACGAGTTCTGAATTTGAAAGATTGACCTTCAGAGAAAAATCGGAGTCGCTTCAACAGCAACAAGTCATATCAAATCAAAGGGAAGTGCGCAGGGACGTATTTGTTGAACCGGCAGGCAGCAAATCAAGCCCACTCCCAGTGGGTGGTCAATGTGGATGACGCGAAACGCTGAATTAATCATAAGCATGGAGACGACAAAAAGCGAGATAAATATCGCCTTGAGAATAGGAGAGATAAAGGGATCTAGAGTTGACTCAACATCGTCGAGAGATCAGATGTGCAGCGGTGTTTATGAAAGGCATGGGGATTCTGGAGAGCAGGCCTCCGGTAAAATGATTCCTCTGGCAGTTTTGGGAGTCGCATCAGAATAAGTGAACAGTAGAACCCTCCAGACTGATGTGAAGTGTGATGGTGAATGGGCCAACTGTCTGGGTAATTAAATGATCACACTTAAAAGTGACATTTATAGCAGAGGAAAAAGCGACTAGATCGCACCCAACGCATGGAGCTACAGCCAACTCTACCAGTTTGTATCAAAAAAGTGTGCGCGAAGCATGATCAAATGTTACATTGCAGGGGTTCATTAATTTAGCTTCGCCGCCTTGTAGAGGCGGAGCAGTCACCTGCTCATCAACCCTAGGTTTAACTACAATACGAATCGTCCCTTCAGACCAACTGGATTTATTACTAAAAGGGCATAAATTCGAAATAAGACGAATGTTGTAACATAAAGGTAATGCATTTCTTCAAACTAAAAAGTGGAACATGCCTCGAAACCCCACCTCTTCCCGCCGTCCCTCTTTCCCACTCACTTATATATGCATACACATCCACCGAGACACACGCACCATGTAACGTCGCTTTTATGAGGTGTGTATAAGTGGTTGAGGATTGCACGACTCCCGAAACGCCCCCAAAAGTAATTTATTTTGCATGATAAATTACTGTAACTTGCAACCTAGAAAGTGATCAGTTTATATGAGTGAAAACGCGAATCTTTCAAAATATAGGCAGGCCAAAGTTTAGGTGACTTTCGCTTCGCTTTTTTTACCGTCTTATCTCAGTCCTCGAGCATGGGGGTTCGGAGGTTGCACCCCTCCTTTCAGAACAGCGGTAGCCCAACAATTAAGTGGGATAACGATTAAGTCAGTTGAAAGAAGTTATTCCATAACGGTCACGTACTGACCAACAGCTAGTAGATGGGATGACACTGCAACGCCAAAACGATGTCATTTTTTGGAGTTTTAGATGTCCAGTAAGAATCTCAATCGAAAGTTACCTTGAAACTCTGGAAAAAAACCAGACACCTAGGATGGAAAATTCGGGATAGGCCTAGAGTGATCCGACATTGATGGTATGAATTAACACTCAAAGGTCAAAGGAAAGCGAACGTTCCAGTGAGACCTCCCAAAACGTCAAGTGTATCACTTGAATTGGAGGGTGATGTTTAAAGCAACCAAGTTCGTCAAGTAAAAATCAACGCGTACATTCGCATGGAAGCTAAGTCGACTGCATTGTAGCATCATTCTTCCCTTAAAATTGATATACCCAGAGAGAACTATACATTGAGTGCGTACAAACGATTCAACAGTCGCAATTAGAGGATAAAGCAATCAGTCAATTAGCATCCCTTGAAAGACAAAGTGGGTGATAGCCCCAAAAGCATTAATTTCGCAGAAAAAAACTAAGCCCAGGAGATATAAGGCGTTGTCGGACCAGAAGGCAATATACGAACAGCAATGCCACGTGACGGAACGACTTGGTGATGCACTGGCCATTAATTTAAGGCTATACGGCAGTAATGTTGAACTTTTACTGGTGATGGACTTAGCAAGATACGTCTTCTACTACGGGGAGTGGAGGCCAGCTGCAACCGACAATCAATTCACATATTCGGATATGAAGAAAGCAAAACATGTGACCTGAATTCTTGTTTCAACCGTACTTGCGATGAAAAGGCAACATGTTATCGGGATTAGGAAATCTCATCCAAAGAACTTTCCCATCACTGCCGATAATGTCTGGTATGTGGTAAAAAAGATGGGGCTGAATTGGTGGAAGCCTCATTATGCCCCCTCAATCTTCCACGCGACAGGCTACAGTGAAAAATGGCTGGCGGGACCTGGAGAGGTGCAAACGTGTGCCTCAGTGAGACTCTGACCCTTTCCGCAGACAATCGAGAGTGCCCACGCCCAAAGATACCCCAGCCCGTCTGATTTAATACTTGGGGCAGTTGATAAGGCGGTTATCAACAAGCCTACCCACGGCATACCAAGGACTTGTCAATGTTTCCCACTACCGGGAACGTCCAAGGTGTCGCAGGTAAATACGTCATGAAAACATTCAGATTGTTGCTAGCATTAGTGAACAGCGTCGCCATCGGCCATAAGAAACGAATCGCGAGTTTGATGAGAGCACATCAATAGTTGAAAAAAAATGGAAAACCAAAATAAAGAGATTCTCTACTTCTAAATTAATGAGGAACCACAACTCGATGAGTTTTTCTAATCGAGAAAAACGGTAAAAAGTACAGCAGAAGGTGAAAATTTTTTGTCGCAAATTGGGAAAAGCTGCGTTCTCAACTTTCCACATGTCAATTTCTAAGAGTTCCTCCTTAAACCCTTCTTGATGAAGATAAAAGATTGTGAAACTTAAATTGAACAGTGGGGAAACATTAGGCTGAAATGCCTTGACGTGGTCAAAACAAAACAGCCCTAAAAGGCAGCTCCAAGTTGGAAGCAAATGCACGATTAAAAGTACCGAAAAAGGAAAGAAAGGTGCACCACCTACTGCGAGGTTAGGTTAGGTAGATGAAACAGAAGAAATAGTTCCAAGGGCTAAAATTAATTCGACCACTTTAAATTGCGTAAGTTAAACTTTCAGCTCCAATCTGTTGGCGTACGAGACTACTCAAAAGCTTACATTAATGAAAAGAAGGGAAGGTAAATATGGATCCAGTTAACTGGAGTTCTCCACGCTGATATTTTAGTGCTTCTGAAACCAACTTGGATCGTGTCTTTTCCGCTCCTCTGCAAATTTCTAAAGCATCTAATTTTTCAACTTCTGTGTCTTGTAACAACCTCGGGGGATGAATCAAGTCACGCATTTTTGGCAGTGCAGTGAGATACAATTGTTATTCTCCACTTACTGCTAGAAATACAGCACCTGCAGTTGGTGCTTCAAGGAGAGCTTACTTCCAAGCGGCTTAAGAGCTAACTGTGTAAGAGCAGTGCACAGGAAGGACGTCTACCGCGGATGGATGAAGCTGCCGAAACTTGAAAAGGAGGACTACAAAGCTGTAATAACCAATTTCCGACTTTCCCAATCATGACAAGAACTACTTACGATACTCCTCCAAAGTGATAAGAGAAATCTAAAGATCTAGCATAGTGATCAGGGAAAGCGTTCCCAATTACTGATTGGGCGGAATAAAAGTGGAAATGGTGGATAAAATTGGGAGGAGAAAAGGACAACCATTTGCTGCACAAAGTGACAGGAGTGCAAAATACGTTCTCTGTGGGACATTGGCCAGCCTTGAGCGTCACCTCTCCAACGCATTTTGCTAACAGAGGGTACAGTAGACGAACCTTCTTGAAATAAAAAAAGATGGGAGATTTCCCTCGCTGTGGTGAACGAGCATTGTATGGCCTTCGTTTCAGCCTCACAGCTAAACTCAAATGTCTGGTCATTTCGATGACCGGTGCAGAGGATGAACTACCAAAAATGATTACAACCACAGGTAAAGAAGTCTCGGCATCTGAGCTGGTGGCGAGGGGGTTTCGTCACTTCACTGTGGTTTTCACACTCTTAATGCGTCCACAGTAATGCTGTAGATGCAATGCAAATCACACAGTAAATGAATAAAGTGCGATGAATGTTCAAGACAAAACTGGATTCATAAAAGAAATGCTGGAGATGTGGCAATAAGGTTTGCATTGGGTAATAAATGCTCCCTTTCGCTACTCTTGATGGAGGGGCAAATGCCATTCATGGGCCAGTCTAGTCCAAACACCGTTAATCGAGATAGCGGACAACAGCTGGAATGCCGACATGCATTCAACAGCGCATGGTGATCGTCTGAGCTTCCCATCAACAGTAAGCCGGTAGAAGTCTAAAAAATACCACGACTGGGGCAACCACTGGCTGTAAGCCTGCAAAAAGACTGCATCTATACGTGATGATTCCGACCGTGGTACCTCCAGATCACCTTCGCAATAGTCATTCAGTCGGTGTGTGAAAAGCCCGCCTGATTCTAAGCGCCTGATCGACGCATAATCCATCGTGAAGCTAAACAAGAAACGAATCCCTCCGCAGGAATGATGAACACAAATATTTGCAAATGCTCACAACGTCAGAGAGCCAGTACAGGCTGAATATCAAAAAAATGAAGTAGGCTGCCTTAGGATGGTTCATCCACACTGTCAGGTCCTTCCGTCCCGCAGCTACTCGAAACGTATTTAGTCCAATGTTGGTATTGGTGCATAAATGGAATACCAGGAATCATAGGAGGGAAGGTAAACCCACTTTACCTACATTGAAATTGGCTAATTAGGTGCACAAGAAGCAGATCAAGCAGCTCATGGATTCAGGCTCTCAATCATTATAAGCCACCGTACTAAAGCAACCGGTTAATTAGTAAGTTCTGCAATGCACCCAGGAGTTGAAAGTAACCCAGACACTAACATAAAGGACTGTACTCACCACCTCACTTGCGTGTACAAAGCGCAAATTATATACAAGAGAAAAATTTTTGCCCGTTTTCTCAAAGTAACTTCTCGAGCAGTGCACTTCAACTGACAGGAAAACGTTAAATGGAGAGATATACACTGCTCGTACGTTAAGAGAGTAAAACAGACTCACTATTTTTCGCACTGCTGGACGAATCCAGGCAGCTTGAGTCGCCGAACGCCCCCACTCTTCCCGAATTGAGTGCTTCAGGATCATTCTCCCAGAGACCGAGTACGGGGACTAGAGGGTCAGTGTTGGTAGGACTTGATCGAAGGCCGGAGAAGAGGATCTTCTGCTTGTTGTCGAAAGACCTCGACTCCGACTCAGTCAGTCCCGCAGCTCGATCGATGATCTGGCGTCCGAGGTCGACAAGACGGCGGGACATGACGCGGGCGTGACCTCGGATATTTGACATGCTGGCGAGGTGGCTACCCGAGGGGTAGTCAACTGGAGAACGAGAGAACCAAATACTCTTTCACCACATGCAAGAATGAAGTATGCAATGAAGGTGATTTTTGTGGAGAGGATCACCTGGTTCGTCTGATGCTAAATTTATCTATTCCTACGAGAAAAACGGGCCCAAAAACATTAGAATTTGTTTCTGGTGTTGCTTAATTTAATTCACATCGAAGTGGACCCCATCCAGACAATCGGCTTACTAGCCTTGTCCGCTTACTTTAGGTTTTTCTGTGTTGTGGGAAAATATGACCAAGTGGAAACCTTTTTGGTAACTGAAATGCACTTTGATGGGTAGATGGACGGATGAATCGGTGAATATGGGGTGGATATTTGGATTTCATATTGAAGAACAGATTGGGAATGAGTGGGTGAAATAAAGGTTGCAGGATGAATAGACCCGGCCATAGATGAGTGGATTGATAATGGACATATTGATGAGGCCAGAAGTGGATGGGCAGATGGATGAATGGATCTAGACTAGGGAAAGTGGGGACTTCAGAACAGGTACATGACTGGACAAGTTCAAAAGCGGTTTCACTACTATGATTGTTTGTTTAACTCTTCGTTTTGGTTACGTGGGCACCTAAGGTTTCGAGATTGGACTTTCGCTGGGAAACATGGTCTCTATGGAAGACTCAGAGCGCTACAACGATGACAACAAAAGATTCTTTTCTAATACACAGGCAGTTTGCTCAAGAGAAATCGGAAACCACCACCTGGGTTCCATATTTTGCCGTGTTGTAGGTAGAATAACCACAGCAACTAAGGCGGAGTAAAGTGACTGGAAAAAAAATTTTTCACATTCGCCTCACTTGACAAAACGATGCAACGCAGCGCCATAACAGGTGGGGAAGACAGGAGAGTTTAAAATCACCACTGCAAAAGACAACTCCTTAGTCAAACCAACAAAAATCGCATAAAATAGTCCAACACTTTAAATTTCCCTTCCAACTTTTGAGGAAAAATGGCAAAATTCACATCAGCTTAGAAACTGAAAAAAAGAGTCGCTATCGGCTGAAAGTTCGACAGTCAGTTTTTAGGAAATAGGGAGGAATCCAGCCGTCGGACAAAACCATCCTTAAGAATTCGGAATTAGAAGTGTCAATTTTTATGCACTTAATTGCAGGGGAGAGGGAAAGTCAGGGAATGAATTTCACTTCACCATGTGGTCGAGGAACGCCTAACACTAAAGCTCACTCCCTCCAGCAAACTTCCAGCACATGCAAAGACTTATCCCTTCTTCATCAAGTTTTATTGACGGCTTTTTTTAGCGTTCTCCGTTGATCCACTTTTTAAATGGACAAAGAGGTGGACTAACGTTGGTCACCACCTCAGAGGCATGACTTCGCATTTGAAAATGCCTCTAGAAGTGGAAATCACACCTCCATTCCGATGCTGTTAAGTCACTTCACTTCCTCAACCTGCAGCCGATACTACTAATTCGGGTGAAAAGCAGCTTCCAGTAGCAAAAAAAGAGTTTTCAATGAATTGACGAATCCTGTGATGGGTAGACAATTACCACTGAGACCCTTTTCTTGCCTTCCCATCTCAATAATTCAGTGTACCGAGCGGTTTTTCAATTCGACGACAATTTCTTGGCAAATACCAATCCACTGTGTGTGAGGTGAAATTGGCCATATATGCTGGCCTTGACTTGTCCCTCCTCGTCACTCATTTCTACTGCCATGGCCGACAATGAAAATATTGAACACATGTCTAGTGATGACGCCTTTGACAAAAGAACGAGGGAACGTCCTCCTACTTTTCTTTGTGCAGATGGACAACGGGAGCGAATGCGACTGCTCCAAAGTAAATTTTCTTCTCAAGTTTGTGCTGAGCCATAAAGTTCATCTTACCGGTCAGTTCTACAGCCTCCTACAAGTAGACGATAGCCATGTCTCGCAAAGTTTAGTTTAAGGTGAGGCAAGGTGAAGTGAGGTAAGATTGCGGCTCCCTCCAAAAGGCCATTTCATTCTCCACATTCCATGAACTAAATGCCAAACGAGTTTAGTTCTGCAAATTAGGCCAAAATGTAAGATGAAAAAAGTGCTGCAAATCGTAAAACTTGAAGGTAGGATACGAAAATGCCAGTTTGGTGTGCGATTTAATGCCAAGTTCGTGGAGCAGGAACAATAACTTGGGTACGGAAAAAAAAGGCAGTACACCAATTCTGCCAACAATAAAAAAAAAGCTTAAAACTGACAGTTGGAGTATTTCCGGGTGTAAAGACATGTAACAGCGTGAGATGCTAACCGCACTTAGCATGCGTGACCGCATGCACGCAAAGACGAAATGGCTCGTCTCGTCAGTTACCATCGATGCGCGAGAGGAGAGATAACCGCACTGTATTCTGGCGCAGGATCTAAATTCCTCCAAAAACACACCCTCTGTGTTTGCTACAAATAATTCGAGAAGACAGGAGAAATATTACGAACGCCTCAATAGTGCTACAATCAATCAACGAGGACTTCGCGCCTGCAAAGAGTAGGGCAGGGCAGTACCACTAGAAGGATTTTAGAATGCTAAATCAAATAGGTGTTAAGTGGGTTTTCCTTTCCGTGAATAAAGACTGGAATGGACATTACTGTGTCTCCTAAAAAATGGATATCTAGACGTCAGAGCACTCCGAAAAAAAACGACACCTTGAAAGGCCTACTACCCTAAAATGTCGTGTGCTATGAGCACCAGACAGGAGTACTTACACCCATTCAAGCACAATACTCCAACCTAACATACTCAGCACGGCACAGTAGGCGTCAGTGGCGATTTCGTGCCACTCTTTATGGGTGCGACGGAACGAAGGTAAACAGCAACTTTTCCGACGACGCGAAAGACGTCTTTCAAGCTCAAGTGATCAAAAATGTCGCATCACCTCCGAAGTCATGAAACAATTCAGCCAGTGTACGATGAAGTATCCTACTGGTGAACGGAAGACGGGGTCTTCCGTTACAGTGGAAGAACTTCCTAAAAAGATGCTTGGTTGTTGTGCGACCTGGTAATTGAAAGGTGGGAGCTGCTTTGCAGAGTGGATTCAAAGGGTGGCTGCATTGCCAACGAAGAGAGGGCTCAGTAATGTACTGATTGCCTTCTTCGCGAAGCGCAATAGCAACAATGAGTCAATGGCCCTAGGACGGTTAACCTTGTGACTCGTGACCCGTGACCCACCTACCCACTTAAACAGCCAAAAAGTCAGCCAGTCAGTCACATGGCATGTAAAGCAAAAAATTCGCACGTTTCGTGTCCTGCGACTAGCGACGGATTTGATCTAGTGACGGGTGGGAGGGCAGGTAATTGCACTTTTATGCGGTCACGAAGTCACATGCACATACGCACCCAAGCCTACGCAAACATGCACATTCCCACTCCCTCACTCGTTCACGCACGCGCATGTGCATGTCTCGAACCGACACGTTTCAATGCCGATGAGTGGACATGTGACAAGTGCGGATGACAGTTGACTAAGGCCAAAGTTCAAATGATTCACTGAATCACTGCATCAACCTCACACCAAGTAAGCAGGATGCGTTAGGTAACAATACATCGAAAGCGTCACACCATGCTGGCTCCAAAGGTAACGCATTCATTTAGACGTCGCAGAAGTTGACCCAAATAGTCATTTTGTGTGGGAAGGGAGGGACGCCAACTAGACAGCGC